ATTGTACTACTGTTTTCCAAAATTGGATGAATAAACGCAACTCTTGCAGTCTGATTAGAGGCAAAAAAAAAAAAAAATATTAATGAATAATTATCTATTGTTTCTTTATAAAAAAATTGGACTAGTAGGTATAGTAGTTAAAAACTAGTAATAGAATTTCTACCTTCTAATAGGTTTTCTCAAATATATATAATTTACTTAAAGAGTGTAAAGTATATTGCTGGATATATAGTAAATAGGCTAGTATTTAGCTATAGTTATAGCATTATAAAGAATATTTGATATAATGTGATTATAAGAATATTCTAAAAATATGTAATAAAACTTGTATCTAATACTGTTTTACTTTAAAAAAAATAAAAAAAAATAAAAACAAATAAAAAATTTAATAATTTTGTTCAAATATAATTTCAAAAATAAGATTATAACATTAAAATTTAAAATTTAAAGATAATATTTAAACTTTTAAAAAAGAAAATACATAAAAATTAAATTGAAAATAAATAAAAACTTTTAAGTATAATTTTTAATCCAATTGTTCATTTTGATGCAATAATAATTTTTAATATTTTATATTTTTGAACTTATGGTTTATATAAATACGTATATAAAAAAAAACAGAAAATATTTTTTAAAAAAATTATAATAAAGAATTTTTTTAATTTTTTTTTAATTTGAATAATTAAATTTTACTAACAGTAAATACGTAGTATACATATACGTGTATATATAATTTGATGATAAAAATTTAATATACCGTAATAGAATTTTTGAAGACGATTAATAAAAAAGTTTAAATATTAAAAAATAAGTTTAAAAAATAAAGTATATGGAGAAATTTCATTTAAGATAATGAACTGTAATGAAATTTTGTAACAAGCACTCACAATAATTAGTTAATATTAAGGTACAGTATATGCGATGAACTGTACCCTGTTTAATTGATAAGAAACTTGTTAACGCTTGTTATTTTTAATTCATTTGATCGTTTCGAGATTGTCACGCACGACGTTCTTTCTTTTTTAGAAAAAAACGTGCAACTCAAATATCAATCTTGATCACAACATAAACACACATTTGATATTTTTTGAAAAAGTTTCTAGATACTGGATTTTTTCTAAAAAAAAAAAAACCATTTATGTATTTTATTAACGTTTAGACCACAATAATATTAATCAAAAGATTATGTGTGCAAATCATTGATATTACATAAAATAAATTATTATCAACAATTCAAAATCAAGACCAATGTGTGACATCCGATAATTAAATCATTTCTATTGTTATACAGTATGATAAAAAAAGATTGGTTTGAAATGATTCTTAGCAGCGTTTTCAATTTTTCTAGACAATTTTGTCGTTGCCTGGTGAAAGGAAAAGAGCGCGAGTAATCTCGAACTTGAAAACGAGACATTGTTTTATCGAGATGAAGATAAAATAAATAATCATTATCTGGTAAAATGCATTCAATATACAAAATGCACGCAAACACCACCAAGCAGAATGCTGGACGCTTTTTTTTTAATTTTACGACGATTAATATGGTTTGGCACAAATTATTGAAGGTATCGTGTGGAACAGTTTGTGAAATATGGCAATGGTAGGGGGGGCATACTGTAAGACGTTACCGTAACAAATGTTTTCTTATATAAAGATATGAGAATGCCCATGTTCAACACTCTTTTTAATGAGAAAAATTTAGACGAATATATTGTGAAGTAGCATTCGCAATACTTTGTCAACTAAATTAACCTTTTTTCAAAGAATTATTATACGAAAATAACGATTTATATTCTTTGAAAATTATTTTATATTTATACACACCCACCTTCATTTTATCGAACATAACACATCTCTTCACATTTCAGCCGCTCTATTTTTATATGAAACATATTCTCCGACTGTGTGTTTGTCCCCTATCGATTGTATAGACTTTACTAACACCCTTACTTTTCTTTGATAAAACGTATAAAACCCATCACTTGCATTAGTCCTTTTCCAAAAGATTGTCGCAACCATAATGGTAGATAGCAGTGAACTAAAATTCATAACAAAAGTCATTCGACACAAATCTCGTCTTTGTCATCGACGAACATATTCATCCATCTTGCCTGGTCCAAGCAATACATTCGAACCTCTGAAGATTCAAGTTATTGAACCATTACACAAAAGCGTTAAATTCTGTCCTCCATTGTCATCGTCGTCAAATGATGAATTCATTCCAACCAACATCCCTTCCTACCGTAACTCCAACCTCAAAAATACTTATCCTTTGGACCATACCAATCACCCAAGGAGAGTCAAAACACATCCACACCCACATACATCTCATTCTATGAGTACACTTTTCGAAATAAAGTATCATTACTTTTCACCGAATCCATCGTATCCACCTTCAGCAGGATATGAGTACGAGGGTGCCCACAACCATCTGCAAAATCGACCGAGATTTAGGATATGTGGGAAAGAATGGAGTACGAGAAAGAGCGTAACACAATTGATTTTCTACTGGGAAACGGTATTCTTGATTGGAGCCAAGGCGGCCAGGAGATGTGCAGGATGGGGACGTACATTTTGATGTAGAATTCCTTCTCTATATCTTCGGTGATGATTTATTATTATTATTGAATAATAATGGAAATCAGCAACTCATTGCCTGATGTTATCTAGGAATGATTGTTACTTGTAACCATTCATCAACGCTAATTATTGAATTCATCTTTATTTATATTCTTTTCATACACATGATCTTAATTTAATTCCGAAGAAAAACGTGATGTAAAGTTGAATAAACTTTGTTCAAACCTAATTCTCTAATCGGCAAGTTGTATTAAAAAATGTTTCGAGTGGTCTCATTTAAAAAAGTCGAATTATAATTATTATATAGATAGATAGATATCATTTATACAGAATCCACGAGCATCAACTGTAATTTTACAAAATTTCGCAATAAAAAAAAGTTTTTCATGAAAAATTTCTTTTCATATCATGGCATCTTTATCATATTATTTATTATAAAAATTTTTGGAAATTTCTATGATATCAAAACTTGTTAATTAAACTTAATCAAAATTATATACATTGTATTATAATAAAATTTTTTCAAAGTCTGAAATTTCTGATTCAAAAAAGAATATATACATGTATATCTGATTTTTTTATTACAATAAAAATAAAAATAATAAAATTACTTATAAATTTTTAACTTGATAATTTCAAATATGATGATAAACTTGAGATTTAAGTCATATTAAATATATAACTTATATTTTTACAATAATGTTTTGCTATGAGAGAATAATTTAATATCATATTGTATGTTGTATTATTGTTGCCTGTAAAGAGTAATAAACACGTTTCTGGCAGTTTGATTAGAGGAAAAAAAAAAAAAAAGTTTTTTTATATCTTTACAATTGATATCAAATTAATAACAAATCCAATTACGGTATGTATTTATTCTTTCATAATAATTATTATATTTTATTTCCAAATATATTAGCAGTAAAACATCCAGATCAGACAATATTTGTTATCAGCGATCGTTAAACGGCCAATAAGATCGATTGACCACAAACTTTGATGATTTTGGTAAGCTCAAGCACTTTCAAACCTGTCTAGAATTACAAAAATCGATTTCACACGCTATATTTGATATTGATATTGCATAATTTCATTCGGGTATCGGTGGGAAAACTTTTATACCGTTTCGGCATAACCATTTTTTAACCTTGATGTATAGCCTTTTGGCAACACGAAAATTTTTCTTCGTGTAATCAAGAAAAAGAGAGAATAAAGAAAACTGGATGGTCATATATAGGAAAGTTAACTATAAGGTGAACCAGAATCTTAAATATATTTACCTTATCGATCACACTCCATATCGGTCTCTTAATATTTTTCTCCTCGGCGACGGCGCAAGGCTTCGAAATTTGACCATCTAGGTCATCGGCGTCCGTCCTTCTTTTTTTACCGTCGATTACATTATTTTGGCGCTGATTGCTTATTAATGTGACACTTATGGTATGATCTTTAATTTAGAGATGACGATTGTCTTCAGCGATCAACATCCATTTACCAAACTCTCAACCAAATCAATGAAATGCATTCTCACCGTAAAGCATTTTGCCGTCAAATTCGTTTCTGATGTCATGGGCTATGCCTAAGGTTGGAACGAGTAACTCGATTATGCCCGTTTTTACGCCTTCTTCGGTGTGATATATTTTGATTTGATTAATTTCCTCTCCACCTTTCGAGAAAATTCGCTGTATAATATGGTCATTATTGAAAAATGCCTAAACATTGCGGAAAATCCGCAATCGCATCGGAACACGAATGCCCATACCATAATATCAACTAGTGTTAAGGTCAATGGCAAATTTTTCACTGTCAAACTCGTGTTCGTCTTCACAATATTATGATTCGCTGCAGCCTTGACTGCCTGTTCGGAGGTGACTTCGTAATTCACCAAGATGTGCCGTTCTAAACTTCCCCTCTGAAATTCGGTAATGCTTCGGTTGTGGTTGGTGTTCTTCCTGGTTACTGGACATTGCCAGTCAATAACGCACCCACGCGAAGATTCATCATATTCTACACGAGATCTGTCATAGTACCATTTATCTTCCACATCATACACCCAAATGTGTTTCAAAAATCGTACGTGTTTCCGGTTGCCAGGTGCGATAGGAGGGATTCTCTATGTTTAACAAGAGTGGAGAATTCTCGCTTAGGAGACTCTGTTTTCTTTGAATAAAGAACAAGCATGATCATTACCCCTTGATCTTCCGGGCTATCTTGATTTCCTCTTGACAGAACATGGCATGCTCTCTTGTCATCAGAATCGTTTATCTTTACATCAAGTGGTCGTTCCTTTCTTATGTTCTCTGTTATTTTTTCCATGACCTTTTCAATTGATAAAGAAATTGGTGCGTGTGTTTTCTAAAAGTCAACGTTTTGTAATGTTAAAGCGAGAATTATAAAGGAAAAAAAATATATCAACGTTTTTTATGAACCGAAAAAGATGACAATCCTCAAATGAGGCAATCTAACGTATCTATCCATATTGTAATCGTTTTCCGAATCAAAGTTAGTCGCCTGCATTTGTTCAAATATATAAAACCACAAAACATTCGATACATGAATAATGTTATGTATCTCAATAATAATAAATGATCATTATTATTTATTTGAAGCGAATAATGCTATTCCCCATTCACATCTTGAAAAAGATGATGTCAGCGAATTGTTTCGGTGCGAAAAAAATCCTTTTTTTTACTGGTAATCGGGTAATCAGTTTCATCGGTGTATGATCCATACATATTCCTCATCATTGTGATAGAATGCATAGGTTTCCTTATTTATCGTCTTTGGGTGAACTTAATTCCCAATCGCCAACTTTTCATAGCTCTCAAGTAAAAAGCATTCCTTTTACGCTATTGTTGAATGTGCAGTGCATATCAAACACACCGTTCGGACCGGAGAAATGGAAAAACACATACGGTCAACATATCACGTGAATTTGGTATGCTTTATTGTGCTTTAAATAAGAGGGAAAATCAAGTTATATAACATCCTCTAGGAATCTTTTCGAATAAAAATTTTTTTTTTTTTACAACCCTACTTTGTGCAAGAAAAAAACCAGACATCCTTTTTTTTTTAAAAAAAAGGACCAGTAAATTCTACATTTTTTAAAGGTACAATATTATATAAATACATGTCTACCATATACTGGATCCATGTCCATTCCTGTTAAAGACAAATTCTAAATTTTCACGTATTTGTACGTGAGATTAGACTTAGATGGTGAACAAGAGTCGACCAACATAACGACAAGGAGATAAAGAATGCAGACGAAATATAGATGGAAAATATTTTACAACAAAATTCGCCATACATAGATGGATATGCGTTGCGGTAAACCTCACGTAATTTATGCGTCCTCAAGTTGTTGTCGATCGTAAGGGACCGTAGAGCACCCGCTCCTACGTTCGGAAAAAATCAAAGAACCACTACATGTGTTAGAAAAGTATTCAAAATAAGCCATCAAAAAAAACATTACCCCCACAGATGGAATTGTGATTGCGTTACGAACCAGAAAACTTCGGCGTTTACCCCCTCCTGCAATTATCTTCGATATTTCATTGGCTCGCTTTCTAGAAGACTCAAGACCATTTTCGGCAGCTTTGGTATACCACTCCAGGGCTTTCTCTAGATCTTTGGCAGTGCCCTTGCCATACTCATAGCAGAGACCCACTCGACATTGAGCCGTGGCGTAACCTTTCTCTCCGGACGCCTTAAAACATTCAAACGCCTTAACAGGATCAGATGCAACACCGAATCCTATATCATAACACCATCCAACACTGTTGTAAGCGGAGGCACACCCTCGGTCGGCAGCACTTTGAAAAGCTCGAAAGGCCTTTGGTGGGTCTTTCAAAGTTCCTGTTCCTTTGTAATAACACCATGCTAAATATACTTCGCCGCGTGAATCTCCAAAATCTGCTGCTTTGGAATAATTTTCGAAGGCCGCTTTTAGATCCTCGGCTTTTCCGAATGCGTGTTCGTTGAAGAACCCAATGACAAAATAGTAGTCTGGAGATTCCGATGAATTTTCCTCAAAAATAGTCAATAGATCTTTAGGTTTAATTTCCATGGAGATGCATAATGTTTCTATTCGTTTGATAAGCAAGGAATCAGTCACATTCTCCCATTGATCAAGTATCTTGTATACTTTATTAATTATATCCAAATTTCTTTGAGTGAGTGAACGACTCCTTTCCAAAGTATCCCGAAGAATTTCACATTCTAACCGAAAATTTTTGCCCATCAAATTCGCCGGATCATTTAAAGCCAAACCATTCAGAGAGTGTCTTTCATCAATAGGCATTGGACTATCCACAATCACTCGGGCATCGCTAACCGAACGATCATGAATATGGAACTGACCATTTGATTCGGAAGGTCTGGAAGCAGCCGAGGACCTTGTTGAGTTTTTTCTTTCATTAGTCTTGTTACCTGGTGATTCGACCTTTTCATTATATGAGGATCTTGTTGAGTTTCTTCTTTCATTTGACTTGTTAATCGGTGATTCGACCTTTTCATAATATAATTCCTTGACGCTTGTTATAGGTGTATCAATGGAGGTTGATGTCGAGGTGGGATTACTGGTATCAGATTTTGATGTCAAGTTTAGAGTTTCCGAATCGACACCCTGATCAGATTCATAATCATCTTCATCTTCATCGAAATCAGGGTCAATCCATAGACCATCTCTTGAATCCAGGGAGGAGGAAATTTTGACTTCTTTATTAAATAAACGCAAATCATTAACATCAGGACAGGGAACAATTGAAAGATTCAGAGACTTTGGGTGAGATCAACTTGCCATCCTCATCGTCATCAAATAGATTTTCTAATTCAAGTCGGGCGAAAGTGAGGTGAGCTCGTTCCTCTGGATTATATTTTGTTAACTC